TCTTGCACTCCCCTTCCCATGAATTGTAAGCCGCCCTGAGTCCCCTCAGGGAAAAGGGTGGCCTATAAATAATAAACAATTCAATTCAATTCAATTCAACTGTGAGCCGCCCTGAGTCCCCCCAGGGAAAAGGGCGGCATACAAATAAAGGGAAAACTAAAACTAAACTAATAAGACGCACCCAGATTTTCAGCCTCTTTTTTGAGGGAAAAGGGTATGTCTTATACTCCAAAAAATATGGTAACTCAAATCCTACCTTCCATTTTCATTTAATGTTCCTATTGTACATTGCATTTTATAATTTTTCAGACAGATGCTTCTATTCTTTCATCCCCAAATTCTGACATTTATTATTTCTCTCCCACAATACTTTTTTGACCTTGATTTAAGCTTTCAATAATACTCTATGACAGCTCCATAGATTTTACTTATTTCCTTGGGTACCAGTTAATAATATCACTAACACTATATACCGCTTAAGCCAGGAAGAAGCGTTATGCTTCTCACATATAAAACCAGTTGTACTCTTATCATTATAGATACATGATATTAATTCTCAAGCAATAGTAAACTCTAGGGGATGTAGGCTGGTTTTCTATCACGTTTCTATCACGTTAAAGAGGCAGAATATATATCTTCCAATTAAAAGGAATTAAAAGACATTTTTTGTTTATCTAAAAGAAAGTTTAAATATTACCAAAAGCCAAAAAATGATCAAATTTTTATGCTCATAAGCATAGATACTGATTCTCAGAATTAAAAATCTTACAATATAAAAAAGAAACTTACAATCACTAATAGGATTGTGGTTTCCTTGGTCTTCATCCAACAACTTGACAGGATTTTCAGTGTTGCTAATATTTTGATGATTCTCTAATTCTCTAAAAAAATTAAAATTTGATTTAAGAAAACTATAGACTGCAAAGCTAGTCAAATCTGGAAAGAAAATAGATGTAAAGGAAATATATGCCCATGTGAATTACTGATACCTTAAGCTGATATAATCATTTTCAATTGATATTGTTTTGTCCTGCTTTATAAACACTCTAAAAGAACAGTTGCATATATTCAATGCAATGGGAAGGGAGGATTACTAGAATATGAATTGCCAAGACAAAAGTATCCCTAAGAATAGTTAAAATGAGTAAACCAAATGAAGCTGACAAAGAATAGTCTGTGATATTTTACCAACTCTGAATGATAAAGATGACTCATGGATAACCTCAAATTATAACTAGAGAAATTTAAGCATATTTCCATAGTCTAGAGAATAATGTATATAGTATGGCAAATACAACTATATTAAGTATCAAATACTTCAGCTAAGTGAATTTCCTGAAACAACCTGATGTTGGATAACCATTTGTCTGAAGTGGTGTAGGGTTTCCTGCCTAAGCAGGGGTTAGACTAGAAGACCTCCAAGGTTCCTTCCAACTCTGTTATTATATATTATATATAACCTTTGATTAAGAGTAACTGAAAAAAACAGGTATCATTCGGTTAAAATTTCTAAAACAATTACCTCAACTTTTGTTTGTTAGGAAGTGGAGATGAACAAGCTGAATCAAGAGATGCACAGTCTCCTATTCTTAAAATAGGAGACAGGGGCTGATTTACATTCTCAAGAGGAACTGCAAGAGACGAGCCAGTGATATCTACAAAGCAGAAGTCAACTGTTTATTCTCATACAATAGTCTTACTCAAGCAACATACCTGACATACCTCCTAAATGATATATTTTAATGGCTAAACAATCCTCAGGAGACAAGTAAAATGTCAAAAATATTCCAAATGTAATACTGGCAAATCTTTGATTTTAAAAAAAAATATTCTTCAATTTGCTAAATGAAATAATTCCAAATAAATGAGTTGAATATTTTATATTAAGGAATGCATTTTATGTGAAAAATATGTAGTGGGCCTTCTGTATATTCTTTAAATGAAACACACACCCTGGACAAGGAGAAAAAATGAAGAATCATTAGAAGATTGTTCATCATGCTAAACAGTGGAGCAAAATAGCTTACAGAAAATGCACATGGCTCATGATGGCTGAAAAGCTGCAGAATAATTTAAAATGAGCACACATGCAGGTATTATTGGTTCTGGAACATGCATGACATTTTGAAACATTGGTACACTATACACTAGTTGGAAGTAAACATTTAATTGTGAAATAAGACAGTAAATTATTTGTATCACTTCCTTAATTTCAACTTTAACTAGATGTATATATTAGGCAACAGAATTTATTAAAATTGAAACACTTTAAAGATAGTTCTTGACTTATGACCAATCACTCAGCAACTGTTCAAAATTATAGCAATTTCCTAGAACTGCTTACAATCCAGTTCCAAAGATCCAATGTTCATGAGATTGCATTTTGGTTGCTTGGCAACTTTTTCTCCAGAAAAAAGTCATAAATTTCTGGTTTCTGGTACAAAATATCCATAGACTACAATATAAAGGTTCATTTAAGGATGGCAGTTTTTGCTTAATGGCTTTGCTTAATGTAAAAAAGTAATAAAATCAGGCATGGTCATGTGATAACCTACTTAATGATTGCCACAATTTATGACTGTAATTCTGGGCTCAATTACATTCCTAAGTCAAGAATTACCTATATGCAGTGATTATGTGAAGACAAACATTCCCACACTGCAGGAAGTGTATTGAAATAGTACTCCCATTCCAGCACTGAGTGGGAATTTGGAAATAATCTATGAAAGGGATTAATAAATTATGACATCAAACCTTGATATTAATAATGATTGCAACTCACACCAAAGCAACCAAATTTCGTAACTGTATCCAATTGCATACCTTCATTAAACAGATTTTTACTGATGTTCCGCCTTGCTTTGGAAGTAGGAGTAGAAGAGAGACGCCTGGAAGGTTTTTTGGGAGTGGCACTAAAACGAGTCTCACTTCCTGGTGCCCAGGTATAGCTTTTACTCTTTTGAAAGTAAAAGGAATGTTCCTGAGACAATGAATTCTCCTGTATAGAACTCTTTCTTTGCTGAGATGCTAGGATAGAGTTACTTGGTGATTGGGAAGATGATGGGATCTTTGTTGAGTCAATTACTCTTTGAGTGACTTTGTGCTGGTAATTCCTGTAGGCCTCTTCCAAGTACTCAGCTTCTCTTTCCAGTTCTTTTATCCTAGCTTTTGTAGTAGCTACAAATTCTAAGTCAGAATCTGGTGACGCGTTGAATTTTACAATGTGATTATTATGACTAGGACCTGAATTCATTCGAACACTGGTCTCAGGCTGAGTTTTCAAGAAAGCCCGATCTATATATATATCATGTGGAACAACCTTATCATCAATCAAGTCAATGACTGAACGATCAACCAGAGAAGGCTTAGGATTCCGATACACCTCATTCTGTAGTGCTAGATAACCAAGAGTTTCATATAGAAAGAAAAAATATATATATTTTAAGAAAAGCTGTAAGTGTGAATATTGATTTGGTCATACAGTTAACACATAAACATAACCTGTGCATTTGAAATCTATCTTAATATCTTTATATATATTTTTCTACACCCAAATCTAAATAGAAAAAAAATACCCAAAGTCAGGGTGATGACACAAAATTCTAAATAAAACTGAAAATATCATAGTCATGGTAACAAGACATGTAATGTAATGTAATCCTTTCACAGATAAAGGCTGCTTCTACTCATAGCAAGGGAAGCTCCCTCATATCTTAGTCAATACCTGAGAATCCCTTCAGCTCATCCTCTTTGAACTAACACATGAAGGGTCTGCAGTGAGAGGAAAGACTTGAAAACTCTGCTTGGAAAAACTAGCCATTAGCCATTAGAATCTATTCTGGGTTCTCTACGAATCAACCCTAACTCCCTAAGATTGAATGAAAGCAGATTTAGCATTCAGCAAAGTTAGTTAGTTGACTGTGCCTTCAAGGCACAAAAAGAAAAAAAACCATGCTAATAAGTTTTTAATACAGCATCTTTCCCTCTTTCTTCAAAGTAGTTTGGCATAGACTTTTGCAAAGGTAGATGCAGGCCCAAAGTCCTGTTTGTGCAAGCTTATGAACACAAAACTTTCAAAATATATACTCCCAACAACTACCCAGCTCTGCTTTGGACACAGGGTACTTGTGCTGCCCCAGAACAGTACAGAATTTTTGTTAGTTCCTTTCATTTCTGTGTTGGGCAGACCAATAAAATCTTAAAAATCAAATGAAGAACTAAACTACAATCTGAAATGTTAGAAACCAGAGAGCAGTTTTGAATTATTTCAAAATTAATTTTTGGAAATAAGGAAGCTATCTTTGAATTTAAAAGACCTTTTATAAGAATTGCTCCTAGCCCAAATTATTTCCCAAAGTCCCGTAATGAGGTGGTGTTCTTTGCAATAAATAATTATATCCAAGAAACAATACTTCCTTTTAAAAGGGCAATCATTCATTATGCATATAACATTTCAATAATTATATTTTCTTGCTATTCAATTAATAAGTTGTGGCAAAAAATAATCTACATGTTTAAATAAAATTCCCTCAAATTTGTATCAAATAAAACAGAAAGAGTCTTGAGTTTAAAGGCAAAAAGATGTGAGAAATCAAACCTGTCTGTGTTTGCTTCCATTGTAACTTTAATTCTTCTATCTGTACATTTAACTTCCTGATGATATTTTCATAGTCTGACAACTGAGCCTTTAACTGTACACAGTGTTCCATCTGAAAACATTACAAAGAAAAATTGACTTAAAAAAACAAAGAAGTTATTTACAAATAAGACTAATAACAACTCACCCTGGAAGCTAGATTATGCTTACATTGCCATTTTTCTCTACTGAATGTTTCAGACAGAAATCTGTTCAAAAATTATTTGAACCATCTGTAAAACACGGAAAAACCTACCTCCTTTTGTAACTGTTTTTCCAAGACCTGTTTGTGAGTTTCAGATTCCCCACATTCAAGCATTTTGGCATGTTCCATTCTTCTTAATTCTGCCTGAAGGACCTTAAAGTCAGATGACAGGCGACTCAGTTCTGTAAATTTAGGAGACTAAAATTATTATTTTTTAAACCACATCTTGCCTTCACTCTGAAATATCATATTCAAGAAAATATATTCTGTCATGTATCCAACTTTATTTTTAGCTTTATGATGTATGGATAAATTATTTTTCAGTATCCATAAAAAATGGTAACGTATTTATTTCTAGACCAATTACATATAACATAAAAATACAACAAAAACATCTCACATACGTAGAAAAAAACAAAATAAAGAAATAATGTAGCAGATTTACTGAAGGGGAACAGGAAAATTACACTGACCTGATTTAATGTAAAGAAAGAAATTTGAGCTACTGTATATGAGTTTTTGTCTCTTGGCCCTACCATCAAATTTGGGTATTGCTTAATATTATCTTTGCCTGCAATCTTAGTGTAAGAGAAATCTGAATGTTTTAAATATGACGCAGATACACCAGGTAAAACAAAAGTATGTACTTTCATGACTGCTAAATAAAATATGGCTAAGAAGCATATAACAATATGTGACAAACTAACAGGAAGAATGAGATATGCACCTCATCTTCTCTGCCTGTAAAATTTTATTGCAGTAATTATTTTAGGCTTGATTCAAAAGAATGACACTAGATTTAACCTGGTCACTGCTGCATATATAAAATACAAATAAATATGTTTCTTCTTTAACAAAGGTTCTAAATATCCCCTTCAATTTCCTAAAGATACAAGAAATAAATATTTTAATGATTTGAGGAGAAAAAAAGAAATCATTTCCCACTCTCCTTAAAGAATATATGAGATATAATTGTTGTGCATGCAATTCTCCCCAGAATTTAGAATACCATGACAGAAAATCACGCTTTACAGGACAATGTTAACTACACTTCAGTTATAATGCTTCTGTACTTTTGCTATTGCTTCCTGAAACACTAAAAACATCAACTCTTAGGACAGAAGTACAACAAGAAAGAAAACAAGTATCTCACATCCAATGTAATAATGCTATCATAAATAGTACAAAATTATGGTATCTCTATAAATCCTTTCCAATAAAACATCAGTTAGAGTATTAGAGTCACACTAACTGTCTTGGAGCTGTAGGTTTTCATTGTGTGCTTCCTCCAGCTGCTGTTCAAGTAGTTTATTTTGTGCTTGATACTCTATTTTCTCCTCTTTCAGTGTAGAATAATCTGAAACTTCTTTCAGTTTTCCAGTCAACAATTCATTCTGTTTGCTTAGTAATAAAACTTGAGCCTTGACTGAATCGATTTCCCGCTAGAAATGTTAGAAATAAAATTATCAGACTTGTTCAGAGATTTATAGAATATTCATTTAGCATGTCTATTTCAGAATATGCTAAAATTTCTGTATTTAAATTTCAATTACCTCAAGTTCTTTTGCATGCAAAACAGCTTGACTGAATTCTTTCTTTTTTGAATTAAGCGCAACAGTCTCTTCATGCAAAAGCATAGCCTTTTCTAATCAGAAACATAAACAGTTTTAGATTAAATTTATTTTGAAAGTAGATTTACAAGACCAAAAGTTATTTAACTTTTTTTTACTAGTTTACCTTTTTGTTCTCTCTCATTTTCAGCAAACTTTTTTGTCCTGGCTATGAATTCTTCTTTTAATTCAAGTTGATAACTAGAAATAAAATAACATGTTGGCAACTGCTGAAGACTTAATGTGATGGTAAAGCTAACCTTAGGATGCTTTTGAATCAATCTTGGCTCTTGTTTATTGCCTGTTCTAGTTCTTACTAATTTTTCTAGCCAAAAGAAAACAATGTTGAAGAATGGAAATTTGCCAATCTTCTTTTCTATCATAAAGTGAATATTAGGATGAATACATTTTGAAAAGAAAATCAACCTGGACACACGGTACATCAAAAACCTACATACAGTACATGTATCACTACCTACATAAAAGTTATAACCATCACTCACAACAAAAGGGAAGCATCATCAAAACTCTTAGTAACTGAGGCAGAATTGCGGCTTCTACTTCTAAACGATTGCTTTTTAAACAAATTCATATCATACAAATTTAAGTGTTAAATTCTGTTTCAAATCTAGACTTCAAGCAAGTTGTATTTTCTAATACTATATTTATGCCTTTTTATTTCTTTTATTTCTTTGCTTTACATTTCAATCATTTTTATATTTATTTATTGAAATAAAAATGCATTGTGCTCAAAACTTAGTGAAGTTTAATTCTTCATAAATATGTCTAGAATTGTATTTTGGGCTTTTTGCATCAAACTGAATATGAAGAAAAGTCTCAGTATGTCTGTATATTCGCAACAGCAGCATATTCTTTTAATCGTAGTACTGGCAGGTAAATAAGGCGACAAGTTTTATTATGGGTTTAAGTTTTTGAAAAATCTACTAACAAATTAAAATCCATGTCCTTCTGAACAGTGCCCATTACTACAGTCTGAGCAAGCAGCATGAAACACATGCACTCTTGACTGTCAAGAATACCAAAAGCCTACTTACCCTTCTTCTTCCACCTCCCTCTGACAGATATTTTCATAACATACAAATATAATCCAACATTTTTTTTCTCTTCTTGATGAGGTGACTTGCTCTCTACACAGACAGTCCTCTTAATGAGCAGGAATGTTCTTCTATACAGATACTAGTTACTCAACGTTTGTAATTGGGACCAGAATTTCCATTACTAAATGATGGGGCTAGCAGGCACACATCACATAACTGCATTGCTTAACAGCTGCAGTTTCAGTAGTTCTGAAGTTCCTAAAGAAGTTAAGTTGAGGTCATTGCCAGGACTGCACTGTTGTTAGGTGAGGACCTCATGCTTCTCCTGCTCTGCCATGCTCATCTCCGCTTCAACTCCCCCCACCCGCCTATTTCCATCCCCATGTCTGCCCTTTTGGCCATCTTGAACTCTACCATCGCTATTGTCTTACCCTCTGCTGACCCCGTTTGTCTGTACCCCACCATACATTCTGCTTCTCCTGCCACTCTGGCTGAATCTTTACCATCTTATTCCTCCCACTGCTGATGAAGCACACCTGGCCTGGACCTTTGTGCCTTGTGAAGAGTCACACCAGGCAAACCTCATCAACAGCAGAAGGAAGTCAATTGCAAATGTCAGCTGGGAACAATGGGGGTGAAAGGGAGATTGACATATTGGCAAGGCAGTAGAATCACTGGAGTGTAGGGCATCCAAAAGGGCAGAGATGGGGGGGATGGGGGGGATGGAAAGAGTTGAAGTACACTCTGCGGTCATAAATGCGGGTCGGCTGCCAACATCCAAAATTTGATCATTTGACCCCAAAGTCACTGAAACTGCCATAACTTTAGGGATTGATTGTAAATGCCATTTGTTCAGCACCAATATAACTTCAAAGAGTTGCTAAACAAATGGTCATTAAGCAAGGACTACTTGAATACATGTTTAAACATTTTCTACAAACAGGCAAATATATTACTTTAACAGCTCATTCTTCAACTTCTGATCATATGTCTCCTCAATGCTCTTCACATTATTCTCCCGCCGATGAAGTGAATCTTCAACAGTTTTATTCTTTGATTCTTGAAGTTTTTGAGCTCTAGGAAAACAGAAGAAAATGTCTGGTTAGCATCAGAAATAAGTGTGTTCAGGCCTCACAGAAATGGCAGGGACACCTTTTTTTGATACAACCACCTCCACCAGTCTTCTCTGTTGTGTCAATATGACAGAATGCATAGAATGCATAAAAATAAATATTCTCTTCAAGAAACATTTATGATATTTGTTAAGACTTACAAAGCAAATTCCTGCCTTTAAATCAAAAGTGGTGAATAGCTTTTCCCTCTTAGAATCAACCAACAGTAGATGGAACAAGTAATCAAGAAATATGCCTAACACTCAGTGGAGCAATCATGAAAAATATTGGAAAAGATATTTAAATGCAAGTAATATGACTATACCAATAAAGATCAAAATTGTGCAAACCATACTGTACTGAAGCAAAAATTGGACTTTAAAGCGGGATAGAAAAATTATAGCTCTCAGCTTATGAGAGCAATTACAACCAGAATTTTCATTACTAAGGGATACAAAATCATAATGCTCAACTGCATTGTTTAGGAAGGGCAATCTCTGCAGTCCTGGTTGCTATTATTAACCAATCTCACGTGTTAAATGAGGCAACTTCCTGCTTGCTTCCTACAATAAAACTAGTTTAAGCCTAAATGGATTTAAATATAAAGTTAAAGCATGATATTCTTCAAAGCATAAAAATATGAATGCAAAATAACATAGGATGAAATGCTACAGGCATCTGTATGTCTGAACACTTCATGAAAAACATTTCTAATGTATGACTCAATAAATTAAATAGCAGAAACACAGAGTAACAGGGAATGACTATCCTTCTAAAGATGTAATATTTATAGCAATATAATTTCATCTGTTTACCATTTCAACTTAAAAGAATCCTTTGAATAATAATAAGAGGGAAATACACTTGCTAGATCCAAGTCTTTCTAAAAGCATTTGGGGAAACTACAGAGTTAATTGTTTCCCTAACATGTCTGGTATAACCAAAATGTATGCAGTATTCAACACTGTTTGAATAGTTTTTGTTGTTGCTCAATTGTTAAATCCTGTCTGACTTCATAACCCATGGATAATAGCATGCTAGCCCCCATCTTCCACTTTCTCCTGGAGTTTGCCCAAATTATGTTCATTATATCAATGACACTATTGTTCAATAGCACTTATTGTTTATAATATATATTTACATAAAAGCAGTAGTTTAGTCAGAGAATAGAGAGTACATGCCTAATTTTGTTTACATGTTTTTAGTGTTTGATAGAAAGGTAAAGATTAGAAAATCATTTCTACATTTCTGCTACTGAGAGGAAGCAATCAATCAAAAATCTAACCTTGTATACAGAAGTGTACTAGAGGCCTAAACAGATACAAAAAGATTAATTTGCAGAAAAGGTGGGGACAAAGAATCAAGAATCAGAATATAGATTTAGTCTGAGGAAGAACCATCTAAGCAATCTTGTTTTTTGAATCAAAAATATTATCCAGTTTCTGCTTATTCTTTTCATGAACTTCTGAAATGGAAAGGTTGCTTATATTCTTTGATTGCTTGATTTATTACATTTCATAATATAGACCAACTTCTTTCACATCTTCTCCATTTTATGCAGTTTAAAATGTGGATTTAAACATGTTATACAGTATAATCCAGAAAAAGATTCCTATGTTAGGGAGGAAGATATATACAATAGCATAGAATGGTTCCTCAGCAGACTTTCAAGGATCTTTGGATTGTTTCTTAATAAAATGAATCAAACCTTTTTTGTCTATAATAGGGCTGTCAAACTCACAGCCCATGAGCGTCATGCACTGGCCACACCCATGCCAGTTTTAGCAAAAGTCATGATACATCATGTGATGCCGCTGTGATCATGCGAATTTGACACCCCTGGTCTCATAAAGTGTGACATTTAGAAAATTAAGATAGGAATCACTTCACAAAAGAAGTATTTCCATTAATTATTTATTAAAACTCACATTTCAAAAGCTTCTATTCTCTTCTTCAATTCTTCCTCTCGGCTTCTTACTGTTTCAATATCTTTTAGTAAGGTTTGTCTTTGCAAGTAAATTTCCTTTGCATCAATCTGTTAGGAAAAACAGTTTGGGTGATATATCCCTCAAAAACAACAATTTGAAAAAAACAGGGTGCGTTTGTAATACCAACTTCCATAAGTTCCTACTTCCTTCACTGGTTTATTGATAAACTAAATACTTGGCACAAGAAGGTATGGAAATTGCAGCTAAGGTGAAATAACAAGTATGAAGACGGATCAATGAACATGAAACAATGAATTTCAAACCACATAACAAAAAAAAACCCTCTGTCACTCGGGACAAGCAAAACATTTTAAGCTTGAAACAAATATTTCAAGTAGTTTGAAACACATGTTTCACAATGTCATGTACAAAGTAAAGTTGTTTTGCAATTCTCCTCTCTAAATGGGCTAGAGTTAGGCTTAGTCAGGTGATCTGGGGAGGGAGATCTAGAGGCATTTTAAGGAACACTGCTACTCATGGGATTGTAAAAGATTCATTCTAGAACTGATTATTCTCCAATGATACTGTGATGCTGCATGACTGTCCAAAAAATGTCATTCCTGTTGTAACTAGAAAGAGAGAGGGAGAGAGAAAGAAGACAATTCTGTAATTTCTTTATCTGCATCTCTTTCAATCAACCTATAGGAGAAAGGAAGGGTATACTCCTGTTTGAATTCAAGGAAGCATGGGAAAAAGATGAAACAAATGCTTGTAATAAAACCTGTAACGACCTGCCCCAGCTGGTCCCTCAGAAAAGCAAAACTCCTGACTCCATTGAATTGAATCAAAATAACTTTTTTCTGAGAGAAAGTGGTTGCAGTAAAGTTAGGAGGAATCTCAAGGTCCTGCTTAAAGCACAAAGCAATTCTTCCATTTCCCCAAACCCAACTCCCCTGGACCAGTCCACCGGCAGCCAATGTGATGCCACAAGGATGATTTGAGATGTGCTAGGTAGATAACAGGTCACTCTCAGAGTATGATGGCCTTGGAACCAGGCTGGAACTGGCTGGGAGAGAGTCTGCTCTGACTCTGAAGACAAACCCCCTCCCAAATTCCCAGGTGGTTACAGCAAAAGCATCCCAAAAATGCCAGCCAGCCTCCCTCCCTCCCCACCAACAGAATGGCAGGACTCGATGTGGACCTGACAATTTGCCAAATACTGAGAGGTTAGTATTTCATACTATGTTCTACCTATTCTTGTGATCCTGTGGGGAAATTGGAACAAGAGGCTTGTTCTGCATTCTTATTTCAAAAGGTTTTCAAAGTTTTCAAGCCATTTTAAAGTAAGCTTTAAAAAGATTCCCAGAAATTTTGATCATGAGGAAAAATTAATAGAATTAATTAAAAAAAGTCCCAAATGTTTGAAATATGTCATGTTTTCCCAATGCACTGGAACAATCCAGACTGGATATTTTCTTGCAAGCCCAAAATAAAATATATTTCCCATTTCTTTCACAACTCTGTTTATCAAATATAGGCCATTAGCTGAATAAATAAATATATCTTCATTTTTCCCTGTACAAACTGAACATTAGTAGCATCCCACATAATAAACCACAACGTGACATGTAACCCCATTGAAATCGTCTTAAAAATGAGTATCTAATGCACCAGTAACCGTGTGTGACATCAAAAACCAAGGCAAAATATATGTAATTACTTTCAGAAACTTTCAGAAAGAACTCCTAATATTGGATAATTCACCAAACTCTTTGATTGCAGAAAATTTCAAAGGATTAGTAACTATGTAGGTTTAGTTTTTTTAAAAATACCTCTTGCTGTTTATGAAGTCGCTCAATAGCATTTCTTTCTCGAGAAGTCAGAGCCTCTGACTTGGCCTGATGATCTCTTTGAAACTCTTTCCGAAGTTCTGAAATTTCTTTCTGGGATTTTGCCCTTTCATCCATTTTGATTTTGGCAATTTCAACATCCTTGAAGTGTTGTAACTGTAACATTTATAAAACAGAAATTGAAAACACTGAAAACAGGTATGCCGGCCAGAAATTCAACTACCTTTTCCTATGCTTCAAGGGTACTGTTCATCTAGTAATTTCTTTACATTCCTTAATGATATTAACATTTATTCATATGGTATATTTTCAAGTTTTGAGGGAAACTTGAAATAGCAGTGTTCCCCTAGAATTAACAAAGCCATTTATCTTAAAATGCAGATGTTTAGGGAATATGTTGGAACCTTAAATTATTTATGCTTCATTTACGCTCAAGAATGAACATACAGTATTTCCTCATCTCTGCAGTCTATAACATTTCAGGTATTGGGAAAGAAAAGTATGGAATGGCAGTGTTGATTAGAATGTATAGTAGTATTGAAGGCAAACTCTACCCACAGCCAGGAATTTGATCCTGACCAGCTCAAGGTTGACACAGCCTTTCATCCTTCCAAGGTTGGTAAAATGAGGATCCATATTGC